TTCTTCTTCTTCTTCTTCTTCTTCTTCTTCTTCTTCTTCTTCTTCTTCTTCTTTTTCTTCTTCTCAAATGGCAGTTGTGACGGGGAAATTTGCCAGATTGGAAGGTCATCTTTTTTCGTCATATATTGTGATTAAATTTTTTTTTTTCAAATACATGTAATTTGTTTTTTTGTTTTTTTTGGGTGGTCTTTTTTGCTTGTTTAAACAAAATTAAACCTTTATTCGGCTGAGGGATTCAATTAATCAACTCCATAGCTATACAGATTGTCAAACTCGGATAGGCTATAACTGGACAGAAGGGAACGGCAGTTTTTCCCTGTTATAAGCGAGTCCTGTTATATAGCCAGTATCATTGCACTTTCAGCTTACTATTATATCTATTAAAATTATATATTTGGCAACTTGGAAACCCATGTGTCACTTGTCTGATAAAACTACAACAGCTACAGAGTTGAAAGTTGGCAAGTACCTGCAAAAAGATAGATATGTCCCCATGGTGGAGCCCGATTTTTGATTTATTCATTTCCTGAATTTGGAAAGAATATTCGACAACAAGTTCCCGTCCTTCTTTGGCCTTTGTGATTGTTCCACTGAGATACGAAACAAAAATCTACGTAGCTGTCCTCCACAGCGGAAGTGCCGGAAGTGGTATCTCGCGAGGCGCATTTTGTTTTGAGAGTAAAGTTCTAGGCCTTCTAATTTTTTGCATCTCTCAAGATTTATTGCTCCATTCCAGTAGAGTGTAAATATAGTAGGCCAATGACTTTCAGTTGAAATTAATGCCCCGATCATTCCTTACATCGAAAGGGGGGCCAGCCAGATATATATGTGAGGTGTCGTGGCGAAATCAGGCGCTCATCAATTATAGGGCATGTGAAGTTATTGCTATCATCTAAAAGCTAATTGATTTGCCTTTCTTTCGATGGAAAAAACCCAACCCCTTCTGTCTTGAAGAAGTCGAGATATTTGCGATTGAAGGAGATGGGGTTGCTTGGTTTCAGTGATAAAATTAACGAGAAAATGGGCCACTAAATTTCAGTAACTGTAGTAGCTTGTGAGTCCCCCCAAAATTAAAAAATTAGATATTTTGTGCCTTTATTCAACATTTTTCAGTCAAATTCACATAGAAACGTGGCAACAGGAGAAACAAACAGACAAACAACAAAACAAAACAAAAATAAAACAAACAGAATGATGAAAATTGCCAACCTGGCAGGAAAATGTCTGTTTCTTCGATTTTATTATTTTGACATGCACCTGATTCCACCATGATGCTTCACATAATTTAAAAAAAATAATTATATAATAGTCGATTTCTGAAGATCCTTTTCTAGTGAGCTGTTTTGCTGACACTGAGACAGAATCGATCAGTGACCCAAGCACTATTGGGTTTAAAGCAAGTTAATGCGCTGCAAGATCACTGTTATATCCAAGTCTGCGCGAATTGAACCCTGTTATAGCCAGATCGGTTCATATTACTTACTCATTACATATTTTAAAAAACCTTGGATTTGATTTATCACTGTTATATCGAAGTTCCTGTAATAATGGAGGCTGTTATAAATGGGCTGGACTGTATCAATATCATCATGTACAGACAAGGTTTTTTGACGTTATTGTGTTGCAAGTGCCGTAAAACACTTACTAAAGCTAAAAAGAATTATATGTAATATTCAGCTGAAGGATTATTTTGAGCTCAGTAGCAATATAACAATTATGTTACAGACAAGTTGTTCATCAAAATGTGATGCATAATATCACGTGAATGTAATGTTCACGAAGATCAAGCCACCAGCAGGCAACTGAGTCCATGTGAGACAAATTCTTCTTCAAAAGTTTAGAATTTAGAACATGTAACGTCAACAGAACAAGAAAATATGCATCAAGCAACAGGCAAAAATAGACCACCCCAAAGCAAGATTCAAAACTAACTTTTTTAAAAAAGCTCTGACTCAGGCATCACTAGATAGAGTTTTAGCGATTTCTTCAGTTATTCTGTCGGCTTTCTCGTTCTTTCTTTCCTGGGCCTTTGCTGTTCTCTCCCTCTTAGTCACGGCAGCTTCTTCTCTTTTTCCTTCAATGGCCTATATGCTGGTCAGAAGTCTGTGATGTTAATAATCGCACGAGACTTGCGGCGGCTGTTTGTTGACACTGACGGGGTGGGCACGGCCTGGAACAGCCTGTTTATCTTGGCATTCCCGTCAGCCGTGGGCAGGGACGCCTGGCTCTGCTCCGGTTCACTTGTTATAATGACAATATGTATGTCATCCACAGTAAAATCGCATAAAAACAAAAGCATCTTGAAACTTCATTTTTTAACTCATATTCTTATACTAGAGTGAGTCACATTGAAGCCTAGCCATGTGTACATGTATTATGTATCATAAATTCACAAATATCTCTCGCAGGCACACACACACACACACACACACACACACACACACACACACACACACACACACACACACGCCCATTCGCTGACACACACACTTTACAACACAACACAACACACACAGCAATAAAATGGACAACAACCCAAATACTTATATTTTCTATATTATCATGTAACACCCCCACCCCACCCCGCGCACACACATTTTTTTTCCAAAAATATATTTGTATAATTTAATAAGGCAGCAGTCATTTTCTATTTACCTAATGATGTATGTATATATATATATATATAAAAACTAATTACAGGTTAGGGCGACCATTGTGCAAAACCAGCTTAAGGAGACCGGACCTATATCATAAGTGTACTCATGGAATGGAATAAAATCTACAGAATAGCATTCTGCACACTTTGAATAGTACCAAAAAACACTTTTTTATCTTCTTTTGACATTTGTGTTAGACATAGAAAAATAAGTGGTCGCCCTAATTTTTACTAACAAAACTACCAATATTAGGGCAACCACTCCTACGCTAAACCAAATATAAGCTTTGAGGTGACCGTGTACAAATGATACTTGTGGTGACATATATTTCTTGAGCAAGTTCCAGTATTGGGGAAACATATGAAATATGTATGTGTCTCCCTTACACTGGTATTTGTTTAAGTCACTAATTAAACATGTATATGTCACCACAAAGAACATTGGTACATGGTCACGTCAAAGCCAATATTCAGTTGAGCATGAGAGCAGTTTTCGAAATGCTGACACAGTTTAAATCTTACTCATTGATTTGACTTTGAAGGTGACATTATAAATCTCAAAGTTGGATTGCAACAACATGCAGTAAGCTTCAGTACCGTAGGCGAATGCCTTTTAACCATGTGTCTCTGTGTTCACTACCCAGCTGTCTTGTCATTGAAAGTGCAGCAAAGACAAAAATGGTCCTGGGTTCAAATCCCGGCTCTCGAGATTTACTCTAGGGATTTCATTCTGGATAGTTCTGTCTTATAGCAAAGAAACATTGGCAATAGAACTGCTATCTCTTTTATATGACAGTACTGTGTTGCAAGGGATAAAAAACCGAACCAAGCACATCGCATTACAAGTTTCTCAAAAGAAGAATACACCTAGATATCCAAGTTTGAAAGTTTAAAAAAAGCAACAGAACAAAAGTACATCATATATTTCTCAGAAAAGTGTATTCATGTTCTGATCTTCCATTTTGATAAAAGTAACTTGAAGAGGGCAAAAAGTCAATGACATTAAAGGCAAGTTGGTTTTAATGTGACAAATGACAACGTGCCAATACAATATGTAGCGCAATGTACTTTAGACTTGACTTATTGAAACTTTAGTAATATCATGCATCAATCTCAATACATCAACACCTTACAGGCGCAAATACACACATGGTATACCAAAGCACAAATGAAAATGTGTGTAAAACACAAATAAATTTAATAACCTTTTACAAAAGAGTATAAAATGAAAGATCAATGTCAGAGTTTTCCTGCCCAACCATGGTATGTAGTTCACATAGCATTGCTACACAGAAAACCCTCAAACCTCCCATAGGAGGACTTGTGGATCAGAAATGGAACACAAACAAAGGAAGATTGATCCTGCCCAGGCATGTGAAGGGAACATGGTGTCTAATCACGTCAGAGGAAATATGATAGCAACTAAATTTATGTTTCCATGAATTTGCGTATAATGAGCATGATAACCGAAACAAGAAAAAGGTATAATGAGAATCACAACTACAACAGATGGCAAACAATATTGTCTCTGACATCCAAAGATACTGAGGTACTCCTCCTGGATTTTTCCCACAAAAAAATAATGATTTGTCCTTTGAAAATCTCTATAAGACTTTATGCTTAGTATGAAAAAGAAAAGCTTTCAGACTTTATTTTTTTTTCACCATAATTTTGCCATTGATTGAACAACAGTCATTTGCTTTTTGTTTCCATTATAATAATTTATTTCGTGATTATAGATCTAAAAAGGAAAAGCTCTGCCAAATACATAACCACAACTATAACAATTAAATACAATATATCTCTGCCGCTTCATCTTATGAACCTAAAAAAACCATGGAAAAGTTCAGAAGCAATACAAAAATGCTGGAGACAAATCTGCTCCCTGAAAAGTTTACCAAATAATTATCTTAAACTTGGTAAAGTCTAAAGTATAGTTTAGGCTTAGTGTATATACTTAAGCACATAGCTATCCTATGCTGTCAAGTTTTTAAAAGATGAGCGTGCTTTGTTTCTTTCATTGAAGATCTTTGTCTTCACAAGAGCAATTTGCTCTTTCAGTGAGAACTTACTCTCTTCCGATTCCCTGAAAATTGGATGCTTGTCAAGGAAGGCCATAATATCAGACTTCCCTGGCAGAGAGCCTTTGAACCCTACGGAAGAGGTATCTTGAATTGTTTCTCTAAAAAACTCTTTCACCAGCCTTGTGTTTTCGATAGACCATTTGCAGTATCTTCTCCCTTTTGTTGCTCCTATGGCCTCATTTTTCTTTCTGCTTTCATCAGACAAATCTGGGAACTCTTCTAGCTCTTCGGGAGTTGGCTGTTGAGCAGTCAGTAGTTCTGTCTCAGATTCATTTATGTGACCCTGTCCATTGTTTTCTGTTGATTGGAATTCACTGCTGGCTTCTGTAACTGTTGTGGGATTTGCTGTTGCAGTTGCTAACACTGGCAGCTTACTACGTGTAGTAGAGGGCTCATCAACAGCCTTTAGGAAACCACCCACATTGACAACTTCTCCAATGGAGAGAGGGCATTGATAAACATGCTTGTTAATAGCTTCTGAATGACCCATGTGTCTGTAAAATGTTGCTCGTTCATTTTCTGGTAGGTCTAAGACAGCAAACAGTGTTGACATTCTGTGTCTAAATTTGTCTGCTATCAAAAGCTCTGGTTTTTCCAGTTCAGGACCCATAATTTTGATAACAGCTTTTATGCATTGCCAGCCAACAGCATGGTCAAGGGAAGTTCCAGTATTTGCAAAAAGGAATGGATTGGCCTCTGATACTTCCACTTCTTTACGTTGTTCAACCAACTTCATGATAGGCTTCACAGTGTCAATGGGAATCAATATGGGTACCAGTTTCTTTGAACCTTTTCCGGCCTGGTATGCCAATTTAAATTGTTTGAAAAGGGCTTTTTCCAGTGGATCTTTGACGGTTTGAACAAGTTGAGGATCAACCCATGAGTCATTGGCAGCCTCTTTCCATTCCTGCAGAGTAAGCCTCGCAGGCTCGCCTCCTCTTCTGGCATTGAACATTGTCAATCTACTAACAATTAAATTCCGCATCTTCACAAAATCGTGGAGATCCCAGTTCTTGAACTCATCACCTGACAACTTGTGCATCTCATTCAAAATGAACACTCTCAACTTGGAAATATCTTCCTCACTCGGCATTGCCTGTGGTTTCCTCAGTGTGTTTCGTCTTTGCTCACACATGACTTGTGCAGTGTAAAAGATGTAGTCCCAATTGAGATCCAGTACTGCAGAAAACCTGTCAATCTCCACTGATTTCTCTATTTCACCAGCTTGAATGTAGGTTCCTTTGGCAATCTTTATAATTTTCTTCAACAAGAAGCCTATCTTCAGTTTTAAGCCAGGTTTCACTTCTCCATTTTCTCCTGTTGTGAGATCTCTGATAGAATCACACAGGGTATCAAAATACTCTCTTTCTACTACATTATGTGCACAAAGGTTTTCGTTTAGAGATACAATTCTCATTCTAAGAACTAAGTTGGCAAGCACTCTCATCTCTGACATGACAACATGTTTCTCTTTTTTTATGCTTTTGGCCCACAACTTCTTTCCCAACAAAATGATAAAAGAATCACTTTGACATAACCTACCAGCTTCATCATTCCTAAAACTGTCTAAAACAGATTTAAATTCTTCGGTCACACCTAAAGATTCTGCACTTTTCCAAGATGTAGAAAAGTTAACAGAGCCACAAGAGGTCCCTGATATATCAACACACCTTTTTTGTGCCTATAAATTTGCTTTCTATCAAAGAATCCATGGCAGCCATTACACATTCGTACATCAGCATTGTTACTGCTGCCTTGTCTTCTCTCTCTGATCAATGACTGACCCTTTTCCATCATACTTAAATTCACTCTAAAAATTCCCTCTTTTCTTATCTTTTCAAACGCTCGGAGCTGTTCCGCTTTGGGGAGCAGCTGTGCAGCAACCACAGCATCCTCTGTCTTGTGTTTTCTCTTGAGATGTCTGACCAACTGAGACTGTTCTTCACCACAGTAATAGCAGGGTCTCTTGGGTTTCGTCTTCTGAAATACAAACAGGTGTGTGGGGTTTATGCACAGAATTATCTTCATTCTGCAGCGCAAGACAAATGGAGTATGGATGGAGCCAGAGACTCGAGAAATTTGAATTAATTTTTGTACAGTTTTAACAGCGCTCGCAACTGCATCAGGTCATATGAGCGCCAAGGGATGGATGTCAACAGAAAGGTCCATACAGTGAATCAGGCTTACTCTGCTCACCTCTCTATCTTCAACAGTACAAAATCTGCTTCGACTATCAAGGCACCCCGGAAATAGCGGGCCTCAAGAGAGTGACAAACATACAGAAGAAGTAGAGGAGAAATGACGATAGAAAGAATTAGGAAAGGAAAAGAAGTAGTTCCCCGTATGCAGTTCAGGCACAGTTATGAGCATGACATTGATGAATCAGCCCATTTACAATTCTACTGAGCATAAGAACATGTCCCCCTTTTTGGGAATGGCCTAAAGCGGGGCTGCCTAAATCTACCGACTTTCCGGTAGTTACCGACTTTGGGCCGGTTCTACCGTCACAGTGATAAAGGGGTCAAAACTACCGGATTCGTGGTGGGTGCAAAAAATATTTTTAAAAAGAAATAAACCCGTTCCGCAGTGCTCCCAGTCTTCCCTGTTTTTGCAGAAAGCCATACATTCCGAGAGTTACGTACGTGCGGCATCATCATATCAACTCCATGCGTTGAGAGAGAGAGAGAGAGAGACAGAGAGAGAGAGAGAGAGAGACAGAGAGAGAGAGAGAGAGAGAGAGAGAGAGAGAGAGAGAGAGAGAGAGAGATATGCAGTATTGGCTTATCGGCATTCCGTTGCGAATGATCAGCACTAGATCTAGATCCAATTGCCTTCGTTACGTCTTGGATAATTACGGTAACTCGGCTATAAGTTGTATTAGAAACGCCCAGATTGCGCATTTATGTTTTCGTACACTCGACCATTGTCTCTTAGTGCGGTTCGGTCGGCAATATTCTTTCACGAGTATTATATCGGCTCAAATCTGGCTACTTACGATAGATAATATTCCCATAATGCCCATGGAATATAAGCATTGCTCCCTGAAAGGCTCGTGAAAATGCACAAAGCCATTGAAACCAAATCTGAAAAGGCTACCGAGTACATATTTTACCGGTCATATTTGTGATATTACGTTCTGCTTAATTCCCCGGTCCGAGAGTACGTTTCACCCCCGGGGCGGTGCTACAGACTGAAGTGTCTTTAGGCCATTCCCAAAGGGAGGGGTGGGGGGGGGGGGGGGCATTAACATCTCAAGTTCTTATGCACAGTAGAATTGTAATTCCAAATATTCATCTTATTAATTTAAAAACAGAAATGACTTCAGCTGACAATAGAATGAATCAAAAGATTTGACCTTTATTAAAGTACTTGGCAAAGTATCCCAGATCTTGAGATCTTGGGGCCTTGTAATTCATTTAAAATCCGTGATCACTGAAACCCAAACATGGTTTTGGCAGTTGATGTTCTGGCCTCTCCACAGGCCCAGATCAGGACTCATTTTATATTTTTAAAGCAAAACTAGTTAAAATTGTCTGTCATACCAAAGTCACACAGGGCTTATCAGTGCCCTCTGCTAGTGTCGGAAAATATGTTTTAATATAGTTTTTATTGGTATGGGCTTGGGTTTTGAAGTCAGTTTGGCAGTCATCCTATACTCAATTCCATATTCAATTCTGAATGATAGGTGCCTTGAATGATAGTCCATAAATGCTTAAAAAACACAAACAAAAAATAAACTCGCCTCATTTCACAAACACTGTTCACCTTAACACCCAAACACTCCCCCCCCTCCCCACAAACATAAACACTCACGAGAGAATGCGCGCGCACACACACACACACACACACACACACACACACACACACACACACACACACACACACACACACATGCATGCGCAAACAAGTTTTCAAAATATAATTACCCAGTATCACGAAGAGCAAATGGTAACTATGTGTACTGGGGCAACGATCATCTTTTTTTTTTTCTTCTTTGTCTATATACCACCAGATTTTGGCCCCAAATATCTTAAACTGACCCTGCATTTACCTGAAATGGGAACTTTGTGGTATGTAGCCCTGCTAAAGACACTTCAGTCTGTAGGACGTCCCGGGGGAGGGGGGGGGAGCAATTTGAGGTCAGTTTACAAAACTGATTATAGGTTAGGGCGATCATTGTGCAAAACAAGCTTAATATGCAGACCAGTGCTTTTATGATGTGTGCACACACGGAATAGAGTAAATTAAGGAATTAAAAAAAAAAATCTCTATAAACAACAAGAACCTAATACCGCTGACACGGGAATTTCCAGGGACTGCCTGCATCCAGGGACTGCCTGCATCCCGGGACTGCCTGCATTTTTTAATTAGGTAGAAAATTAGAAAATCTTTAACTCTAAAATGCTGATCTCTCAATAAAATCTGGGAACGTCAGGCAAACAGTAAGAAATAAATGTAGCCAATTGATACTTTGTATGATATAGAAACAAACAAAAAACTATATATATACCTTTGTGGCTGTACTTGGTTTATTTTACGTTTCCATTTCCAGTACAGGATACACTTCACTCTCATCACTAGTTTCAGCTACGGTCTGTAAAATCCAAATTGTAAAAAAAAAATCATTTCAACTCTCTAAAGATAAGATTGTAAAATAATTCATGCAGTGATAGTATCAGAGTACAAGAGATAATTTGCCTTGTCTTTATGGCCTTCACAGGACAAAAATCAAGTAGATTTGAAAAAATGTCTGTTTTTGCATCCCGAAGGCAAACTCCGACAGAATGTTACAGATACTTATCCTGCTAGAAAGGGAATTTCATCAACGATGAGAGTGAAAGAATTTTTACAAGAAGTAGGAACTCTTTCTACGTCCTTTCCAGAGTTTATGAAACCACAGAAAGCGCACTTGCAATCAAATCGCAGGAAAAAAGTATCTATCTAGAGCCACAGAGCTTCCTGACAAAGTGACAGCCAACATAAATTAGCTGTGACTCTAGGAGGGTTAAGAACGTTTTCAAAAAGCATCTGAAAGTGGAAAGGCTTCTACCAGTCAGCCAACCTTTACAGATTTGTAATGTATTCATCAATATTTTACCACAGAGGTGGTAAGCGTTGACTTGAAAATTCATTTTGGTTTACCTCAGTGTTTACTATTGGTCCTCTCTTCAAAGTTGTCTGTATGGGGTCTTTTAATTCACTGTCCTCACTCGAACTGGAAGAATCATTTCCAGGAACATACTGTGGAACATGATGTTTATTAAAAAAATAGTATATGCTATTTGAGGCATCTTTGATAGCCTTACATTTTTTACACGTTATTTCCGATAATAAATTGATTAATTTCCATTTTCAAGGCTTGAAAAACAGAATTAATGCGGATGCGATGGGTCTAGACCTATGGTGTTTGTTAAACTCGAAAGTATTTCAAACTTTGCTTTAAGATAACAAAAAAGGATCGTATGCAGTGTAAAATCTGGGAGCCACTGTGAGCAATTCATTGGATTGAATTATGTAAAGCCTAGAGCATGTTTTTTAACGTATATATAACAATTTCAATCTTTTAACCCCTCCCCTCCCCCCCTCAAAAAAAAACCGCAACAAATAACAACAACAAAAAAAACAACAACCAACGAGACAAACAAAAACAAACAAAACAAAACAAAAACAAACAACTTACCGAAGGATCATCTTCGAAAGGGTCTTCAAGGTCAACTTCAAACCTGTATTCAGGGTCAATATCAAAGGGGTTGTCAGGGTCAACGTCAAAGGGGTCAAAATCTGTAGTTTTTGCTGATTTTTCTGCCTCGCCTAGAGAGGACAAATATAGAGACAGACACTGTAACTTTTGCGTAACCTGAAACATCAGAAAATCATTAGATATCATCAGTAATCCATATCTTCGCACTCGAATCTTGTACGTAAACTTAAACATGAATTCATGAAATATTTTAGGCCGGCGCTATTTGAAACGTCTGGTTCTGAATAGCTCTCGAGCTATTCAAAACGCCGCTTTCTGATTTGCCCGTGTTATTTGAAACGACAGTAGGCCTACTAGAAGCCATCGTTTCTAACAACCCACTTTTCATCGCTCCATAGCCTGAATTGTGGACGCTTTCTCAGTTTCTGGAAATAAACCTCCTAGGATATGACTCCATTTTTATGACGTCGTCTTATTCCGATCAATATTGTGTAGATCTAGATCTAACAGTTGTTTCTGACATCGTTTGCACAAAAGTAGTCCAGTTCATCTCTCATAATCATCATAAAAAATTTATATAATTTGAGTTTGAGAAAGTAAGTGCAAAGACACCTGTATAGCAATAACAAGACGGTGCACTTCGGTAGGCCCTATTTCCTGTCCGCACGGTCACCATACCAAAGATTCTCTACTACCAAGATCTCTCTCTCTCTCTCTCTCTCTCTCTCTCTCTCTCTCTATTTCTCCCCCCTCCCTTCTCTCTCTTCACCCCCCTCTTCTCTCTCCCTCTCTCTCTCTCTCTCTCTCTCTCTCTCTCTC